GGTCCCAGGTGATGAGCATGCCTGGGATGGGCATCACCATGGGCATTTAAGTTCATGTAAATTAAAGGACAGCTCACTCACCAACTGCTGTCCTAGACCATGCAGTAAGAAGCAGGTTAACTCTTTATCATCTAAAGAAAAAGAGGATTTACTTTTAAATGCATTTACTTATGACATGAGGATGCTGTGTGCTGTATCCGCCCAGGCTGAAAGACCTTTTTGTTGGAGCAGAAACCCTATGAGGAACATCCAGATAGGGATGGATTTGCTATCCCACAGATGCCTAAGAAATCAAAAATGTCCAGTGTCACACTTTAAAATGAACACAGTCACCTGGGGCTTTGCTGTTTAATAGAAAGGTCACAAATATTTCTCATCTCCATAATAACCTAGAGGTCATAAAAAAGGCATTTATGTCCAATGACACATCAAGCATCAATCCTGCCACGGTGTGGTTCCAGCCCAGAGCTCTGCACTTGGCAGGATGGTATAGGGTATGCAGGGGGCTGCTTTTCCCCTGAGGAGAGCAGTTCCACCTTGTTCTAGCTAAAACTTCTTTGCAGAATGCTCGGTCCTTGCTTTCCTACAGCCTGGCTACCCCCCTTTCTGCAGTTGTCTGCTCTCACAGAACTGGGGACGGTTTCTCTTGGAGCAGAAATTCCATGCCCACATTTATGAAGTGGCTCTAGGTTCTCTCTCTGGGCTGGTGCCTTCAAGATTTTGACATTTGTCCTCTAATGACAAGCTGAATCAGTTCCCAGTAGTGTCACTTTCAGCTGGTTTTTGACAGCAAAACAGGCTGGGCACTAGTAGGTGAAGCTGAAGAAATAAAGTGGACTAGGGAAGAAACCTTGAAACCCCTTTCCTCTCTTTTCTCTAATGTGTGGTATCTACACCACCACAGTGATCTGAAGACAGGTTCCTATAATAAACTGACCTGAACCTGAGGTCTTGTCTATTTATGGTCATGTCGCATCTGACCTGCTCTGCAGGGTCTGGGTTACACATTCTGCACTTCCAGAATCACAGCAGATGTGAGCAGTGGGTCTTTCTGTTGCTATTGCAACGCTGATTCCCCTTAGGATTTCAGCTGAGCTCACCGCTGTTCCACCCAGACCCGGATAATTCGGCCTCACTCCTGAGAAAAGCTTATTTGCTCTCTAAAAGCTGCTAGCGTGACCCAATCTCAGTGATATAAGGCACAGACAGGGAGGATCCCTGGTATTTGGGCTCAGGCCATGCTAGAAATGAGCCAGCAGCACTCCTCTGTCAGTAGAGCTGGTTTTTCTACAATAGCCTACTGTGTTGACTTGAGAGAACTGTATTGCCCTACAGTCTTAACCAGAGTAGTTAATCTAGTAAAACTTGGCAAAGTAGATGCTGATCCAGGTTTTGTACTTTGATATCGAGGTAGAAATGTTTGTTAAAACTGTGGAGAAAGAATGTGGTTCCTTAAGCAGTGAGAAGTTTGGGTGGCATTGCAGGGACGGACCTCATGATTGCGTATATTCAATTTTCAGCTCTAAGCTTTTAATGCATGTTCCTAGCTGAAGTGTCAGCTTCGGTTTTCCAGGCACTGGGTAGAGTCATTTAAACAGTCAGAATGACATCATAATTAAAAAAAAAAAAAAAAGATTTTGATGCATTCAAACTTTGTGTATTGAATACAAACTTTGTGTATTGAATACTGAAATGTTTTGAATGTGAATGCTTTGAATGTTGAAGTATTTTTATTAGACTATGAAATACAAATGTTCTCTTCTGCAGGTGCCAAAGTACAACTTTGAGCCTTACCATAAAAAGTTCACATCTTTTCTTATGAAATGCTGCTGGAATCATCCTGTTTCATGGAGATCCTGAGTTTCAACACAACTGTTTTCCCATGCACAGATCTCTGTTAGAAGATTTTCAGCTCTTTCTGGCCACATTACTGGCTAACACAGACTCAGTACATCTACATGCAGTATAATTGTGTAAGAAATTCCATCAACTGAAGCATTTTGATAAAAGCCCCACCACTGTGTATATGCTTGAAATCTGCCTAGAAACATCTTACTTCCAGTATGACATATTCTGAAAGAGCATTATCATTACAATAAAGCCTCTCTTCTCTTTCATCTATGACCTACTTTACAGTAATTTCTATCAAAAAGCGCAAATGCCTACTGAATAAAACTCTATACATTTAATTCTTTACCCCAGGATCTTAAAATCTTTTATTAACCTTCAAAAATTAACCTCTCACTGGCACCCTAGGTGATGCTCATGGCACGTTTCGGGAAATCGAGGAACTGGAGGTAAAGACTGATGTGCTGAGCTGCCGTATAAGCCTGCAGTGAGCCCGTGAGGCTGCCAAGGCTATCTGAGTTCCCAAAGCTCAGTTCTACTACCTCAGTGTCTTCTCCTGACCTTAGTCATAAAATAACGGGAAGTGGGGAGAGCTCTTCTGGCACACAGGCTGTGGAAATCCTTAGACTATTTTGCTCTTATTCAGTTCCCATATGATCTATTAGCACATGTGATACAATGTTTTATTATAAAATTTAGGGGGTTCGACTGTGCCAGGAAGTAAAGCAGCGAAAAGGGAAAGAAAGGAAGTAGTTCCAGACCCTATGCTTGTCCTTGAGATCCTCTGCCAGTAAGTGGTGCTTGTCCTGCCCTGTATTTTTAGTTTTCTTTATCATGAGACTGAAGAGCTGGACAGATACCAGGAAAACTAATGGACTGACTGACTATGCAGAGACAGAAAGTGGAAATAGCCATTATGTCCTGACAGCTGCACCAAATAAACAAGGAGAAAGAGGGAAGGAATCTTCTGAGCTATTGCTCTGGAGCCACACATACAAGAAGTGAGAGAAGACAAAACATTTTCCACCTGGAAATGTTGATTTTTTAGAGGACCATATTCCCCTCCTGCAAGGATGTGGCAAAAACCTATTACAGTCAGCACCATGAATCATATGTCCTCACTACAGCTTGAGGAAGAGACTTCTTTAAGCCACAGAACAAAAATGCATTTTTTCGAATGCCTTTATGCCCTCTTAACACATTTGCTCACATTTGCTGACAAAAACTCATAATGAGTTTTCATGCAATTTTCTTATTTTATTTTGTTTTATTTTATTTTATTGTACATTCTATCAGTTGTAGCTGATAGCAGTGGCAGCAGTCATACAGAGTAATTAGCACTGTTGCTCTTCCAGCTTTGGTTTCAGCTCTATGAAGACAGGACTTCTATGGGCTGCAAACCAAGGGCACTTTGTGAGTACTTTCTTGGCTTCTAGAAGGTGATCAGTAGTGACAGCTAAACATCCCATCAATTATTTATCAACTTTATGATAGTTTTGAGTTTTGCCCTTTATATCATGCAGGAAATAGAGCAGAGAAATAGAACACCTCTGCCTGGGAAATCACTTAACATTGCATGAACTGATCAAAAAACAAACCAGACCAGCAGCCAGGTACAAGGAACATGGACACTAGAAGAAAGAAGCAGGTTGCCAAATGCTGGAGTTCCTATATTGACAGCTCCCCACAGTATCTTTCATTTTTAAAAACTGCAGCATTCATCCATGCTGAAAGTCAGAAAAGGCAGTTCCATTGTCCATGTCTGCGGAGGGCATGGGCAAGCTTTATGCTGGTTTGTGGAAATCTGCATTAAAAAGGCACTCAAACTCTGTAAAGTATCGTTTAAATGCTGTGTTTTACAGCTAATGCTATAAGGAAAGAAAGAAGAGCATACAAAACTGTACATCCCTTCTGATGCCGATGCTAGAGAAGTTTGTCCTGCGGACAAGGGATGCACATGACACACCACAGTTCACGTGTGACTGCAGTTCATGTGTGAGATGGCTGCTTTGTGGCTAAGCATGGACAGAGGAGCTCAGCTCAGACCAGGCACTCAGCTCCACTGAGGCTTCCTTACCCTTGATCCTTACAGAAGCAGGTTGTGGTCACGCCAAGCCCAGCAGCATGTGTCCTCCACCCACCCAGCAGCACCATGCACATGGCAGGGGTTTGAGGGAACATCAGCTCTGCAGTCCCACCCTGTCCCAGGATGTTACATGCCAATTATTGGCATCTGTGCACCAGGCTGCCTCTAGTAGTAATTATGGCTCAGGTGTATGGGCTAATCTGTTGCTTCTTGCTGTGAGATCAGTGTCCTTGTAGTGGCACATCTTTCAACAGCCTTCCTAGGTAGGCTTTAAATCCCTCTAAAAAATCCTTAGCAAGCAAAAATCCTTAGTTCAGTGTTTCCCAACTCCTGCATGTCACTAAGCAGATATTCTTAAGCTGGTGTAGATTTAAGCTTAACTAACCCAAATGAGAAAAAAACACCTTGCCATGAATGTGTTTGTCTTTCTGCACTGGCTGACTCACCCAGGTTTGGGTTCTACAGCTATTGTTGAAAAATAAGGCTTGGAACCCTACTCACCCACCCTGCTGTAACTTCTCAGGCTTTGCCAAGGGAGTAGAAAATGCCACTGAACCAGAAGAGCAGCCCTGATGCTCCATGGGACTTGGGTTGTACCAGTGCAAGTGGCACAGGACAGAGCCCTACTGCCAGTTATGCATATTTAAGCAATGCCTACATGTCTGTGGTACAGGTGAAGCAAGGCTGGGCCGAGAGCTGCCCACCTCCATCCTCACCCAACCCTGTGTCCCACTGGTCTGGCTGCAGGTTACACAAGGAGCTTATTCCATGGCAGTAGGCACATGAGTTACTCTATCTGTGGGGTGCCTGGAGCTGGTGGGAGTGGAGACTTAGGACCCCAGTATTGTGGGGTGCATGGTGGCTGGCTGGACAACTCCTGCTCCAGGTCACTGCGTTTGATGGGCTGATGCTTGGAAAGCAGTGGTCCTTCAGCTCACAGTGATGTGCAGTGGCTCTACCACAAGGAAAACTGGTTTGGCACTCCTTGTTCAGTGCTGTACCTTCTCTTTGGCCAGGATAAGTCTAATTTTCTCTGCCTGAAAGTAATATTTTTAAACAGAATTACCTTAACCTCCACAGAGGGCTATTACAAGTTATTTGGATACATCTACAGTCTACTGTGCAGCTGTTCAGGCTTCAAAAATCAGATTACCCTTTCCTTTTAAAACCTAGAGGAATGTGATCTTGAGCTGTGAGTCACCTTATTGTGACGTACTGCTTTGGACTGTTTCTGCTTATAGAAGAAGATGTGAGCATCAAACGGCAGTGCAGGGCACTGAGGGATGAAGGAAAGCCTTCCAGGCGTGTCATCCCAGGGGGAACCCAGCAGGGATCAGGCAAGGGGCTGTGTCCCTGTGCCAGCAGGAAGTGGGATGCTGGATGCTGGAGGCAGGGTGCAGGATGCGGGATGTGGGTACAGGTGGATGGACTCACCCTGAAGCTAGGCATGCTTCTGCCCAATGGCACACGGTGCAGCATGGAAAGCATGGAAGGTGAAAGCATGCTGAAAATGGTGCTGACCTGAACAAGAGAAAGGTATTCTCCCTCCCAGCTGTCAGATAGACTCCTAGGCTACAGTGCTCAAGGCCTGAGCAGGGAGGATATTGCCCTCTACTCCCACCTGCAGCCCTGTCAGCATAGCCACTCCTGTCCCCTTGCCCTGCTGTGGGGCTCTGTGCCATGGCCACATGCCCTGTGTACGGTGGGATGGTGAGGCTGCAGTGTGGTCTGGACTTCTCCCAGACCCTAACATGACTGACAGTGGGGAGCACAGCATAGACTTGGGCCAGAAAGCAGCCGCTTGGTAGCACTTACATTAGTCAATGAGCAATAAGGCAATAAGTTGGTGAATGTCCTCTCATTCCTGGTGGTGCCCCTGGTCTTCCAAGTCCTCTTTGTGCATTTTTGCACGTGTGCAGCACAGCCGTGCTGTTACACAACCAGCTCTGTCTGCAAGTGTTCTGGTTTCACTTGTGATTCATATCACACAGGGGCTGAAGCATGTTCACTGGCTCCAGCAGAACAAAAGTCACGAAGCTTTGTAGGCTAAGGTTCATAGCACTTGGCCTCTGGAGCACCACAGGCACTTCAATCACATTGATAGTGGTTAATATTTACAGGACCAAAGATCACAGAAAATCAACAATGTCCGTGAGGTGACCGTGAGCCGAGACTTTGAAACCAGAGCTGGGAATGCTGAGGTAAAACTTTTCAGATAAAAAGGACAGCAAAAATAACCATCAATGTGCAGCAGTGGGGTTTGCTTCTTTCCCTCCTACATCTCTTTGTGCAACCTTGCACGCGCAGCTTAGCCTGAAAGCTTCTCACCCTAAAATCAGGCTTTATATCACATGCTTCGAATAAAATGATTTGTGATAAGCAAAGGGAGCACCGGGCTAATCCCACAAGTATCTAGTTCATGTCATGCTTTCCTGGAATTGTGTAGCAACCCAGTATTACTGGCTGGGGCTCCCTGAGCTGCATCATGGTCCACAGGGCACAGCCAGCTGACGGTGCTTTTTCTAGATACATCTCTTGCTTGCAGACCAGTTATATTGTGCAGTCCCAAATGCTCACATGCAATTCAGGAATCTGGGAAATACATTATGCAAGAAGGCTGCAGGAGTGGAATGAGATAAGACAGACAGAAGGGCAGGGAGAAGAGGCAGCCTCAGTATAAAGCCAACAGGAGAACAGGGCAAAGGTCTCATGTGTGAGAGTGGGGCCTCCGTGTGATTTAGCTCCATTTTGGAAAGCATTTCCTTGTTCATGGCCAATCCCTGGCCAGGTGTCCAATCTCAGAGTCACAGCACAAAGCAAGAGCACACAAAAGCTTTGAGGCTGGGCTGAGGTGTACAGCACGCTACGTTTTCTGTCCCAAACAATGTGCTAACTGCAGGGTTATTTGTGGAGTGGGGCTTCAGCTGGGGCTGGATGCAGATTGGCATTCAGTCTCCTGGCAGTGGGCTTGGGAGGGGACCTCCAGGAGTAAAGGAGACAAAGGTGGCATCTGAGGAGTCAATGGGGGCAGAGCTGGCCAGTCCTAGCCACCATGATGCTGGTCCAAAGGAGAGCAGGGAAGTGACTGTGACCACAGAGCTCTGGAGTAATCCCAGGAGGGAGGAGTTTTTGGCACTGGGTTGTGCTTAGGAATACTCAGTGCAGTTCCCAATGGATTCTTCTCCCCACATCCCAAAATATCCCTGAAACAAGAAATCCTGGGAAGGAGTCTCCCATAAGCACCCCAGAGCCACCAAGGTTCAGCCTTTCACCTCAACTTCCCCCAACCCAGGCAGCTGAGATCTTCCTCCTGTGGCTCATAAACACAGAGAGACCCTTCTGCACAGCTGAGCTGTTTGATGCTTAAATTGACAGTTTTCAACCTGCAGCCCATAGAATCCTGAGGGCAGGTGTTAAATAACCCACAAATGAGAAGCTCATTGTCAGGAGTTTAAATTTCCCACAGGGGGAATTCCACATCTGTTGGGGAAAATATCTGTGCTCATAAACATAGAACATCCACAGCCTCCCAGATGTGTGCTTGCCCATAAAACATTTGGTATTCTTGTGGAATGGCATTCCTATGGAGTTAGAGTTTGGCCACATGATAGCAGTAGCCAGGGCTAACATTTGGAGTTGTCTACGTTCTGCAAATTTGTGAAAAGCTGTTAAGCACAACCATTAACAAGGCCGGGATTTAGATCTCGGCTCGCCTGACTGGCCAGGCCTGTTCCTCTATAATCCTGAGAAAAAAATGCAAAGTCATGTGTATTCTGTGTGGGGCTCTATTTTTATTTCTTGTACGCTTCTAGCACTTTCTCCTTTGCTAAACTGCTTGCATAATGCATTGCAATTGTAATTCAGGGAGAAAAGCATTGTGGCCGCTGGTGGCTGAGGCAGTAGGAAATGTTTTACTAGCAGAATTGGCAGGTTTTTTTTTTTTTTTTCATTTTATTGTGGCTGAGAAGGAGGAGGAGGTTAAAACACGTGAAGCTGGCAGTGTTTCTGTGTTCTAGCATTTATTAACAAGATGAGGCAGGGACCGTATTTGCTCTCAGAGGGGTTGGTGTTCCATGCTGCAGTACAATTTCATGCTGCACAAGGGAAGCTCTGCTTAAACCCTCCAAAGGGTGAGAGTGAGTTTAGCAGATGATCATTTCACGCAGTCCCATTAAACAGGGCATTCAGCATATAAAAATGCTATGGGGCTCTGAGCTCATCTTGCCACATTTGTATTTACTGAAGATAACACAGGATTAGGCAGCGGTAATTTGAGTGTACCATGCATATGCATGCATATGGTATGTACAATCAGTTCAATGTCTATAAGGAGTTCGATTCCCATTGTCACATTACCTAAATACCCACTAAAGGAGGGAAATACTATTATCTCTTGTTTACAAATAGCAGATTGAGGCATGGAGAGCATAGCGTCCAGACAAGGGTTGCCAAAGTCCTGCCTATCTATCACTGGAAGTCCAATGGGAGTTATGTTAGAAAGTGCTTTTAGTGTTGTGCAGCTTAATTACTTGTCTGGGGTCACAGAGAGCAGCTACAAAGAACTGAACAGAGATTTCAAACTAGCACCTTATATCTAGACCATCCCTCTTTCCTCCTCCACAGAGGGAGAATTGTGATATTGAAATAAGACAGAAAAAATTTTGTGTCCTTGGCAAGTATTTATATTCTTGATTGAGTAGATTCTTTGGTTTCATGGTTTAATCCAAAGCTAAATATGAATCCAATTATTTCACAGCATCTTAGGAATACGATTTTTTCTGTGACTGCAACTTTTGAAATGTCACTGCTTTGAAACCTTTCAAGTTAGGATTCTTAGGCATTACACACATACATACCTGTCACATCGCGTTCTCATGCTTACTATGAAAAGAAGGAATCATTAATGTGTTTTTATTCTCATGGGAAAATATATTTTCTCTTTCTAGAAATGAAGAATGAAAATCGAGCCTTCATGCTCTTTTTCAGCTAATTGGCTACTGTACACTATTTGTCTCTCAATAAGGTGTTGACTTATTTAACACAAGTCATTTCCAGAGTTTCCATTTTGCAGAGAATTTAGATGCATTTCCTGTTTTCTTTCTCTTTATTTCTTTGTTCTTTGGTGGCACCTTTCTCTGCACTTGAGATGGATTCCAGCTTAAAATTAAGTTCCCTCCCAATACCAGATGGCTTACTCAATTCCCTTTGAAATGTGAACCTGTATGCAAGGGTATGAGTGGCATGTGACAGGTAAGATCCTTCTCAGTGCCAACTCTTACTAAGAATTTGACTGCCTACAAGCCATGCATTTGCCTTTTGAAAGTGAAATGCAGAACTCTGTACTCTGTTGGGTGCCCCAGAACCCCTTTCCAATGCACACGAGAGCCCACAGTCTCAGGATGGGACCCAAAATAGCCAGTTGTCCAGGCAAGCCTTAGAGAGCTGCTACACCAAGAGCAAGGCAGGCCCCGAACACCCATCTCCAGGCAGCTCAGCCAGTGCTGTGGGGCAGGCATCCCCACAGGATGCTCAAGGACTTTTCTTCCAGAAAACCAAGCAGGACACATTCCTTTATAACTGGACTGGAAGAAAAGTCCACCCCTATGCCCCCCTTGGGATGATAGCTTGAATTTCCTAAGTAGTCCAATTGCAAATTTCTCATGGTACTGTTGGGCAAATTTGATGGCACTAACCATTTGGTAACACAAAAGAACATTTGCATGTTTGATTGAAAGCAAGTATTTAAGGATATGCTGCCATTTCTTCTAGGTATTTAGCAAATGGGTTCCTCATTCCCAGTCAAGAATAGAGAGATGTGCCAACTGGTGTCTTACTGTGACTTACTGCTACAGTGCTTCATTTTTCCTGTCAGATGGAGTCATTCAGGAGCTGTGTGTGATTCAGAGAGTAACCTGTACTTCAGTAGTAAACATTTATCTTCTGGGTTGGGCTTTTTATTTGGCTGTTTGTCCTTAGACTTTCAATGTAAGGTATGGATATAATGACCCAATCCACTTTTCAGCGCAAATCTGCAAAGTCAATGCATAAGCAGGATGAGTGCAGCAATTTTAGGCCCATCTGCCTGACTAATGGAATGTATCTGGAAAAGATCTCTGCCTCGGTACACTTCCAAAGCGAGGCGGGGGTATTCATATCCATGATTGCAACACTTCTCCCCACACTTTCTCTTGGATGTACCTTGGACACCGCTGTCCCTGACCCACAGGCTCTGTCCATATGTCTTGGTGCCTTGATGTTGTGTCTGCTTGGGTCTGACCACATCCAGTAAAAATTTTGGAGGCTAAACCCTTTTCACCTTGGTCCTCCTGGTTATGCTTCACTTATCTCCATGAGATTGCTGGGAACAATCATCAGGTGCATTCGCAGGATCCCTCTTCCCTGCACATGATGAAGAGAGTAGAATGAATGAGGAGAGCAAGAAAATTGATGTGCTGAGGAAAAGGCAGTTTAACAGGTGAAGGAAAGGGGCAGGGGGAGAAACACAAGTGATGCAAAAGCAGTCACTCCCCATCTCCCACAAGCAGAACCATGCCTAGCCAGATTCCAAACAACAGCCACCTTAGAAGTCTCAGACCTTTTCTTCTTTCCCAGATATTGAGCATGATGCCATATGGTATGGAATATCATTTTGGCCACTTGGGGTCAGCTCTGCTATCCATTACAGCTATATACTGGGAGATGAGGAGACAAGAGGGAAGTCTGAAGCCTCAGGTATTTCATTGGTTACCAAATGGCAAGATGGAGCCAGATCCACCCACATAAATATTTATACTAGCAAGACAAAGCTGCAGCACAGAATCACAGAATTACAGAATGGCCAGGGTTGGAAGGGACCTCAAGGATCATGAATCTCCAACCCCCCTGCCACATGCAGGGCCACCAACCTCCCCATTTTAATACTAGACCAGGCTGCCCAGGGCCCCATCCAGTCTGGCCTTGAACACCTCCAGGGATGGGACATCCACAACCTCTCTGGGCAGCCTGTTCCAGCACCTCACCACTCTCTCTGTAAAGAACTGTGAAGAATTCCTGGCTGATGGGAAGAGTCTTCAGCAGGACAATGGCAATTCACATCAGCAGAGGAGCTGCTACTGTAATTAGTCACTCTTAGAACAAGGATGGCTGTCACCTTTCCATCCACCCTGCTCTCTGAGTATGGCTGCTACTTGTTTACACATATTAATATATGCTAGTTTTGCTCATTGTCTTTTATGTATGTATGTCTATAGAGCGTGAGGCCGGCAGCAAAACTGGTGGGCATTGACTTTTACCAGCCCTGTCCTTGCAGAGAGCTGTGTCTTTGCTCCCCTGCAGCACTGTCCATGCCTGTGTGCAGTGTGCTGCATGTGCACTTCTCCTGCTTGCTGCTGGGATGCAGATGTTGCAGCATCCTCAGCCTGCAACACCACTGCTCTGCATGCTCTTGGACAGCCTGCCTCACCCAGCCCAACCTACCCAGTGCTGTCCTCTGCCAGGTGACACACAGGCTCAGGAGGCTGTAGATGTGGGACTTCGTTCACTCCTGTACTCTCTGCACAGGGGATGGGAGGGAACATTGTCCGTAGGCTGTGTCTGCCATCCACACCCAGGGATGTACCAATCTGTTGTCTGGATCAGCCTTGATAACCTGGTTGAAGGACCCCACTGCACACCATGAAGGCATCAACTACTGTTTTCCCTGCTCCTTGTGAATACAATCAAACAGATTTGGGGCACTGCCCTGCTGTTGCTCCATGCTGGTCCCACCCTGGCTGTGGCAATGGCAGCCAGCCCCTGCTCTATAGGCACCTTTCTGTGACCCTGCCACAATCCTTCTGTGGAAGTGAGGTGCTCACAGACTGGAGGCCACCAGGACATGGCTGGAGAGGGGTGTGTGCTTCCCAGGGGCACATGGGAAGCTGGGAGCCCATTCTGTGATAAAGTGGGCATAGCTTGAGCAGAGACTGGTGTGCAGAGGGATGTAGGAGGGAAGGGAACATGGCTTTGATGACCATGGGCAGCTGCACCACCAGGCTGATCAGCGATCTGGACAGAATGGTGTCCCGGAAAAGGCCATAGGACTGCAGGATGCAACCAGGGGCTTTGGCAACACTGGGAAGTGGGATCCCAGGTGTGGGGACCATAGGTAATGTGAGTTGTGTTGCCCCTCACCTCTCAGCAGTGTCTTGCTTCAGCTTTGAATGGGAGCTCAGTTCATGGATGCTCTGTGCTTCAGGTGCCTGCAATCACTGACCTGTTGATCTCCAGATATTGGAAGAACTGGTACAGCCTTCCATTAATAAATAGAGGAAGGTAATAAGCTTAGTCTTGCATAACCAAGGTTTACAAAAGACACTATATTCTTATTTTAAAAGTAATATTAATTTGAGAAATTTGGTTGATAAACATGTGTAGCAATATGCTGAGACTTTTACAAGGAAGCTTGCTTCAGCATGAATTGTACTCTGAGATAAAAGATAAGACAAAATTGATACTGGGTCTTTCTCTTTTTCAGGAACAATCCAGAATAAAGCAGTTGTTATTGGCAACATAAGAAGGATTGGTTAAAAAAGCAAAAAAATTAACACAAGCAAATAATGCATATTTTGGTTTGGTAAAACAGAGCATAATCTATGTAGGCACAAAAGATGCAGGTGACATTTACTCAATAATTCTCTGTCTTGCACAGCAGTAATTCTGGAACTTACAGATAATCAGTTGTACTGAAATTGCATGTGATGTTGAGACCTTCAGGGTAAACACTTGTTACTTAGCAGAAGTAGAGAGGTTTGTGGCCTCCATGTTTGGTGCTGGTACAGCTGGAATACAGTGTCCAGTTGTGAAGTTCACACTCCAAGAGGGATATATAAAAATCTGAGAAGGTTCAGCAAAGAGCAATGCTGTCAGATGGCCCAAAGAACCTCTCCCAGGTTTGTCTGCTTATGTTCTCTGAGCAGTGTATAACAACCTGCAGGGAAAACAGACCTGCCAAAGTGTATTGATGTTACCAGTGATGACACAACAGACTTCTGTATCTACAGTTGACAGAAAAGGTTAAGTGGGAAATGCTATTTGATTATTTTCACTAATGAGGATGATGATTGTCACAGATTTGCCATCCCTGGAGAAGTTTTCAATCTCTTTCTCTGAAAGATATCCTCAAATTCAGCTGTAGTTACCTTGCTTGATGGATAGCAGCAAACACACAGCTCAGCCCTATGCAGATCTTAAAATGGAAGTTCTGAGTTCAGTATCTTCTCATGCCCTTATGTACAATGTTTGATACCTTCGTGCATGTCAGGAAGCATCAATATTTGTGTGGGGGACTGCATGGCAGCCAACACACTACTCCTTCCCTCTGGGGAGAGCCAGTGCAGTCTGCAGCTGGGGAGTGGTACTGGATGGGCTTTAAGGTCCCTTCCAACCAAAGCCATTCTGGGATTCTTTGATATGATTCTATGGTACTGCAAATCTGCTTTCATACAGCCCCAGTCCTCCAGCTCCTCACCCTGGCATTGGAGGCATCTCCACTTGCTCAGGGAGACTGACAGCTGCAGGTCTTTGGAGGAGAGCTGGATAGAGGCAGCAAGTGACTGTGCCCAGTCTGCCCAGCTCAACACTGCCAGCAGTGCTGAGAGCTGCCTTATCCCATCCTGCTGATGCACAGCAATTCAGCCCGGATGGACCCATTAAGTTAAGCTACTGAGGCTGGCTGAGGTTCTGGAGCACCTGGCTGCATTTCCACAAGCAGTTTAGACACAGAGCATTCTCCTTTGCAAGGACTGTCTGCAAGCACTTTAGATCTATTTTCTCCCTTAATGATTCTTTTGAGTAAATCAATCATAGAATCATAGAATCATGGAATCATAGAATTGCTCAGGTTGGAAAAGACCTTAAAGATCATCGAGTCCAACCACAACCTAACCATACTACCCTAACTAACAACCCCCTCCTAAATCATGTCCCTGAGCACCACATCCAAATGATTTTTAAACACATTCAGATATGGTGACTCAACCACCTCCCTGGGGAGCCTATTCCAGTGCTTAACAACCCTTTCTGTAAAGTTCTTCCTGACATCCAACCTAAACTTACCCTGGTGCAACTTCAGGCCATTTCCCTCGTCCTGTCACCTGTCACCAATGAGAAGAGACCAACCCCGCTCTCGCTGTAAGCACCTTTCAGGTAGTTGAAGAGAGCAATAAGGTCTCCCCTCAGCCTCGTTTTTCCCCAGACTAAACAGCCCCAGTTCCTTCAGTCTCTCCTCATAGGGCATATTCTCCAAGCCCTTCACAAGCCTTGTTGCCCTTCTTTGGACCTGCTCCAGCACCTCAATGTCTTTTCTGTACTGAGGTGCCCAAAACTGAACACAGTAGTTGAGGTGAAGCCTCACCTCGAGTGCAGGGGCAGGATGACTTCCCTAGACCTGCTCACCAGACTATTCCTGATATAAGCTAAAGACTTTGAAGAAATTTTAGAATGAGGAGTAAAAGTAAAACTCAGCACTCTGCATGTTGTGTTTAACAAAAACCTCTGTTTGGACTTGGAGTGCTAAGTTCAAGCAGCCAAGAGCACAAGGTGTTTGATTCCTCTGTGCAGTTATAGGCAAGGAGGTTCGGGAATGAGAACAATAAACCAGACATAATCACTATTACTTGAAACTCTTTCAAAGATATCAGATGCTGAGAGTCTGAATTGGTGAGAAGTACTGTCTGCTTCTGCTGCCTTCTTATGTCTTGCTTCTTTTACTAGAACCATACATTCAAATACAGAAGTTAATCTCCTTCCCCAGCTCAGACTATTAAAACTTTGAGAATATATATTCCCATTTCTGATTTTGGGTTCAATCACTGCTTTGAGTAAGGTGCAAAAGTTACTTTTGCAGTGTTAGCCTATGAAATCCAAGAATTACTCTTCCAATGCTTCTTACTCCTTGTTTGAAAAAAGCAGCTACAAAATATGAACCACTTCACAACATCGTGTCATAGCAATGTTTGCAAAGCCTTACCTGACAGACTGTTAAAAATTTTCACCCTGTCTTTCTCCACACTGCAGTAAATACCAGACCTCATCTTTGGAGTTAAAAATCTTTGGGACATTTGCTACTTCACTTTGCATCTTATGCTGCACTACAAATTATGTCTTCACATCACTTTTTGACATGTATAAGCAAGGAATGCACAGCAGCATTTGTAAAAAATGGTCTTGTAGGAGCTCCTTGCCTGCAGTATGAGCTATTTTTGACTGTCTCTTTTTGTGTAAGGGTGAACACTCCAAGCATGGATAAGTGACTTTTCCACCAGAGCAGTGCCCGCTGCACAGGTGCACCTGCTGGGGCTGTCCCTTTGTCAGCAGGCACAAGGCATGCAGAGGTATTTTTAGCCTTTATACATATACATATTTTTCTTCTAACCCATGAAGGACAGCGCTCTGGGACAAGAACTACGTCATCCAGTGAGTCAGGAGCATTGGCTGTAGGGCAGGTTCTTGTTTCTAGCCAACATGTGGCTCACCAGAAGCAATTTTTCTCCCCATCAGTTCTCAGCAGCTCACAGAGAACACTCTCCCCTTGGTATTTCAGCAGAAACAGAATCATGGAATCATCAAGGTTGGAAAGACCACTAGGATCATTTAGCCCAGCCGTCAACCCATGCCCCTCAGTACCACATCTCCAAGTTTCTTGAACACTTCCAGGGACAGTGACTCCACCATGTTCCTGGGCAGCCTGTTAGTAGTCCTCAGCCATGCTTTTTTTTCCACTGTCACTTTACAGGAATGTCTTAAGTTCTT